AAGTTTAATTGCTTTTTAGATTTTACAATGGAAAAGGAAAAGGAATACAAAGACATTCGAGTGTATAAATGGTGGCTAGTCCAAGAGAAAAAAGAAAATGAGATGCTCCCCCTTGAATTATTTGATTGAGATATGAGAGAAATTCTGATACAAGATTGTAATAATTGAAATGAGCAATTGAGCAGTTGAAAGATCTTTAGTAAGTGCATTTCGAGATCCAATTGTCTCGGGGAGATCGATTGTTAACAAAGTTAAAAATGAGAATCAAAGTAAATATTTTGGGAAGGAAGGCCAGGCAAACTATCTGATAGAAAACCTTCTCTTGAAATGTGGATATTCCACTAGAATGATAAGACTGTTTGTATCATCAGCAGAGCATGAATCCAATGCGAGGCATTAGCTTTCTGAATCTTCAAACGGAGGCAGACCCCATTCCTTGGGGTTGAAATCCATGAGGGAACTCAATACCTGGTCTGCGTCACCAAGGTAAGAACTATCCAACCTTGGATCTGGAACCATAATTACATTCCTGCTTGGCAATGGCAATAGAAGGTTTCAGTGACCGTTACAATACCCAAAATTGTTGCAATCAGATTAATTATGATTCTATTTTCTATACTACTTCCAATTTTGTTCTTGCACTTGCGTAAACATATTGATTTAGTCTGAAAACTAAATATGAAAGTTTAGCTGGTTCTGTGTCAACTTCTACATGACTTCATGCCAGATTCTACTTACAAGCTATACACTTGCAAGAATATAAAGAACTAGGATAAATCTAGAGACAAATATCCAAACTAGAAAAGGAGAAGGGCATGTAGTATAATCTAATCAATCATGGACTATATTTGTTCTCCCAGTAAACCTATAATGCATTATCTGAAACTAATGGGTCTCTGCATATTTAAATTCAGAAAGTGGCATCATAAAAACTAGAATATTGGAGTCTTAAACCAAGGAACCCAGCCCCATTTTGAAAATATAGAATATGCAGAGCTAAAAGCATGGGCAACACTTAGGTGAAGTTAATCAACTTGGGTGACAAAATTCCTGTTGTTGGCATTTGACACTTAATGATATGATATAAAGGCCACACATCCTTTCAAGTTCAAGTTGAATGTTAAAAAAGCAGTTTTAAGGACACAATAAGTAAGAACTTCAAATTCCGAAACTTACATTCCCGCATTTTTAGCTGCAAGAACACCTGACGGTGCATCTTCAAAAACAAGGATTCTTTGTGGATCCACAGGATGCTCCTGTATAAAAAACGTGGCACGGCCATCATCAATTCGAAGCAAAAATATAAAAAGAAAGAAAGGGAAGCACTCATACGGCAGTAAATGGGTGAACCAAGACTTTGAATCAAAAGTTACAACTATACCTCAAACCTTTTAGCAGCTGCAAGGAATATATCCGGAGATGGTTTTCCTTTTTTAACCTCAGGATCGTCACCAAGAACAACGTGATGCATCAACTTAAAAAGTTCACCATGTCTTTGTGTTTTTAATTCAAAATGGCGTTTATGAGATCTGTTGAAAATCATCAGATATATAATGGTAAAGATACAAATTAACAACAAAGAGAGAAGGAACTAGGATTAGCATAAGAATGGCAGGAATTTATGATATGAAAGGCTAAGCAATGAACTATCATATAAATTAGTTATACCCAGTTGCCAAGCCAAATGGCACTCCTTTTGCATGAAGATGTCTGATCAACCGGCTAGCTCCTACAATAAATAGGAAAGTGAAGGTAACTAAAAGCAATTCGTGACAATAAAAATTATTAATTTAAACATCAACCACTCGCTAGTATGTAGAAAGAGAACAGAGAAATTTCAGGTCATTCTTGGATTGTCTAGTCTATAAGATCTTATATTTTTGTAGCTCAATTGTCCTCTCTAGACTTTTCCTTTCGAGCTTTTCCTCAAGGATTTTAAAACGCGTCTGCTAGAGAGAGGTTTTTTCACACTCTTATAAAAAATGTTTCATTCTCCTCCCTAACCGACGTGGGATCTCCCCGTTTACATATCAGCAAAAATGACAAGGCCAATTTTCAATGCTTACGCTTGTCTATTTTAAAGAAATCTATGTCCAGCCACCAGTTCTAATTTTGTACATAAATAAGGTGAATCTTATGTTGTTTTTGGCTGAAACACTATCTAAGCGTCTTAATATCATGGTGGTGCAGTACAACAATGTAAATCTAATTTACATCTATATGCCTGAGAAAAAGGATTACTGTTTGGAAAGCAGGGGGCATGGATGCCAAACAATCCTGATTCTTATCTATTGTCGTAGGTAGAAGCAGCTCCTAGGAAAGATCAACTTTTTAGCTATCCCATCAATTAATCACCCAAGCTGATGAATGAAGCTTAAGTAGAAATAAAAGGGTAAGGTGAAGGATAATGGGAGATGCCCAAAAATTGAAGGCTAGCTGCGGCATCTCTCTCCAATTTGACTTAAAACGGAATGAAATCCACATAACTACAGAAATGATTATCAGCATCAAATCAAATCAACCATTGTCACAACTGCTAACACTAACCTGGCATAGCCTCGGTATTCGGAAACATGCTTCGTAGCATATCCTCTCTTTCCACAAGAAAGTCCTCCGCACTAAGAGAATCGCTAATCCCAGTCTCGTTAACAAAGACCCGAGCAGCTTCTATAGCTTTCATACCCATCATCTTTGCCTTCAGTGACCAATCAAAAGTTTTATCATACCTTGCCAGTATTTTCTGTTGCACTTCAGTGTAAAACCCCTCAGTATCTGCAGCAGAAGGGTTACCAATTAGTTCACGAAAATTTAACAGAAAGTATATTTAGATCTAGGAGAAGAGTTTAAACTAAATCTCCTCACTGCCGAAGAGCAGATGGAACTGAAAACAACTACATCACATGCTAAGACCAAAAATTCATGCACAGTCCATTCAAGAACATCGCAATTTCAAAATTGTACATAGTTTAGCAAATAGAATGCAAGTTGCTAAGAAGCATCACTGAACAATATGCAAACATGATTAGCAGATGAAGATCTACAACATAATGGTGCGAAAGGAAATGAAAAATGCAATAATGAGGGCGTGAAGAAGGGGAAGTTAAGATGATCAACGAATTTACCCAGCAACAGGCCGTCCATATCAAAGATAATATGAGTGATAGATCCTCTGGAAGGGGTGTCGGAGGAAAGATTCGCCATTGAAACTGTTGTTGCAGTGCGATTGAGGAAGTGGAATGAAGAAGATTGGAGAGGTTTGGATCTCGAATTGGGCAGGAGGTTCCGAAGAAGTCTATTGGGAGATGGGCTTTGCAAGAGTTGAAGCATCGCGGGCTTTATGCCAATATATTGTTGAAAAAAATGGCGTTTGATTCTTGTCTTTATATTTTTCGAATTTTATTCTTTTTGTATTTTAAAATATTCAATTTTTGTTGATATACAGAAAGCATGGTACGAAAGGAAATGAAAAATGCAATAATGAGGGCGTGAAGAAGGGGAAGTTAAGATGATCAACGATTTACCCAATAACAGGCCGTCCATATCAAAGATAATATGAGTGATAGATCCTCTGGAAGGGGCGTCGGAGGAAAGATTCGCCATTGAAACTGTTGTTGCAGTGCGATTGGAAATGAAAAATGCAATAATGAGAGCGTGAAGAAGGGGAAGTTAAGATGATCAACGATTTACCCAATAACAGGCCGTCCATATCAAAGATAATATGAGTGATAGATCCTCTGGAAGGGGCGTCGGAGGAAAAATTCGCCATTGAAACTGTTGTTGCAGTGCGATTGGAAATGAAAAAAAGAAGATTGGAGAGGTTTGGATCTCGAATTGCGCAGGATTGTTGAAAAAATGGCGTTTGATTTTTGTCTTTATATTTTTCGAATTTTATTCTTTTTGTATTTTAAAATATTCAATTTTTGTTGATATAGGATTGATAAATAATAAAATGAGTCATTTAAACCAAATTAGTTATAAATAATAATAACCATTTACAATATATATTCTAAATATCTAATTTAGGTTTTATTGAAGGGATCAAAATGGATCTCTACTTATGCTGTCTTATCTAAATACTAGCCATAATTAAACAAAGTATACAAGCAGACAAGCCATATATTTGAAAAACGTAAGTCAAAGTAAAGGTTGAGATAGATGAAGCTAAAACTAGAGAACAAGCTTGTGAATCAACGTCCCATTTTATGTTGAAGCGGGGGCAAACTTCACATGAGAGGGTATTGGAATGGCCTTATTAAAGTGTGTTGCAGCTATGTGAGATGAGAATGAGTTTTGTGTTACTAAGATTGTTAGACCCAGGGTTACTGCAAAAGGCATGCTCTCAGTTCTACGTTTGGAGCTTCCATCCAAATCTCAACATCAACCATCAATGTTCATCTCTACCACCACATGCACAAGTCAATGGGTTTCAATTGAACAAGAGTGGACTCATTTCATCCTCTGCAAAACAATGAATCAAAACAGAATTGCACCATATTTACAACAACACAAACAGACAGGAGAAACAATGTTTTATGTTTGGCAATGTGAGAATTTGTTTTCGTTTAACATTAATAAATAATTTTACATGTTTTATGATAACTTGCATAAAGAGTGATCTTTTAAATGTCTAACGAGCAGAACTAAAGATCGAGCCCAAAGTCGTACCATCAACATATACCCAATGTAATATTTAAAACCTTCTTCAGTTAAGTTAGATAACGATAGACATGCATGAACTGATAGAAAAAGATTAGGGAAAGTATTAAGCTCCTACCTCCTACAGAAGTTTCTAGTGATAGGTCAAACATAGTTCATTGGTGAAGCCCAAAGAATTCAGTAATGTACAATCATATTATACCAGGAACAACAAATCATGTGCTCATATAAATGTGAAAACAATGCAAAAATGATAGACAACTTCAACTTACAAGCTAAGCTCATACAAACAAACCAAAAACACATACCTACGACCAAAGAAAAATCAAACCATCTGTAACAACAAATACCTTTAAAGACTTCAGTTGCATATATAGACTCCAGACTCAAATTTGTGCTCTGTCTCATAGAAGTCTGTCTTACCCTCCGTAGCCGGCCGTAAAGAAATCCCAGATAGTGATCTATAACTTTGAACTGAAAATTTCACATAACCAATCACTTCAAGTTCTTCTCCTTCATCTTCCTCGTTCTGATCCACAGGCATCCTAGCTCTCAATCGACCAGGAGAACCCTTCAAAGGAATCTCGGGAACGTGCCATTTTAGTTCTTTTTCAGACCGATTCAATACAGCTTTTGGAGACACCTTTAACAATGTGGGATCAACAGGTAGTTTCAGAGTAAAAGTCACATCCTTCAAAGGTAATGGCAAATCGGGGTTCGCAGCATACTGAACCATCACTGAGAGTAAAGTCCCGCTATGACGTTGTATGAGACGAACTCGCAAAGGCAATGGGGTTAATCTAGGTAGCAAGCTATACTTGATAATTGGTATGGGCTCATTTACAGGCGCTGTTCGCACGTGAAACATTCCATTTCCAAGACTACTAACACGAGAACCCTGCACGACAAATCGTTTAACTGGAGCTGTATCCTCAACGCGAAAAGAAAACTCTGTTTCTTTGTCATCTGAGGTTTTAGGTGGCAAAGTTTTCAAATATATAACTCCCATAAATCCTACTCTTGCCAGCAGTGATTCCCTGAACTCTGCACTAATCTGTTCGACGATATACATTTCGGGACCCTTCATTTCAGTTTTAGTCACCAAATTCTCAAGTGGCGTTGCTGCACCACTAGCATCAGCAACAGCCGCTTTTGGATCACTTCCGGTCTGCAAGAGCTCCAACCCACCAAGACCCTCTGATTTCTTAACCTTCTCAGGACCTACGAACTCAGATGGATCCAATCCTCCACCCCAAGCATCACCGAAGCCCTCAAAAGTTTCTTCCATTGTAGCTTGATCAGTACTGAATTCTATACCACCATAGTTTCCTTCGAATCCCTCAACACCAATATGAGTTGATTGAGTGGCTTCCGCAGGTGGCAATGTTGGCACCTCAAGACCCGCCAACACCATAGTCAAATCAGTAGCAGAAGGGTCCTTATTCTTCTTGAACCCGCTCACGAGCTCTTCAGGTTTGTTAATCATGTCACTTGCCGCAAATGGATCATGCTCAGCAGCGGGCTCCTCAGTCTTCTGCTGCTGCTGATCCTGTTGCTCATTCACACTCTGAGTGACAGGAGCAAGAGTTGCAGCTATTTCATCCCCAGCTTCGAGAGTCTCCGCGGGTAGCTCAAACCGCGCACTTGAAAATGCCTGCACATTGGCTTCATGCTCAATCGAGTGAACCTCCATGGCATTCCAACTATCAGCCCCACGAATCTTATTCTCTGTATCGAGGGCTGAATGAACCATCTTGGCAAGACCATCGGCGTGCATCGAAGAAAGCATTGCCGCAAGGCGAATATTGCTGACACCCCTTAGAACAATATCCAACGCCATGTAAATCTCCGCGTATTTCCGGCTAAGCTTCTCAGGTGTGACATCAACACCACGACATGCCGTAACAACGACGCTGACAGCTTGGTTTACAATATGGATACACTCAAAGACATTAACAGAATTATCTTGATCGGCAGTGGTGATGCCGAGGACATAGATGCCATTGACGAGGCGATAGACAACTCGGTAGCGGCTCTCCACACCGACAATAACCTGACCATTAGAGGCAGCCAAAGGATCATCACCAAGTGAGGCAATAGAATCGGCGAGCGAGGAATCATCACCAAGGACGGTCGATGCGTGGTGGCTTTGGTGCTTGGTGACAGCGAAGGCCAATCGCATCTGGCGAAAGGAGGATAGGGCAACTAGCGCTCGCGGGGGAGGGAACCATTCACGAGTTTGTAGGAGGATATCAGATCCATTAGCAGGTTGCAGAGCAAGGGCTAAACAGGAGGACATGGTGGAATGATGGATCCAGATCTGATAGCAATTGATCCAAAGCCTTTAAAGGAGGGGATGGATTGTAATCCCTGGTTCTAACTTCTAGGGTTCTGGGGTCGAATTTGTAAGCAGAAATGAAAACAAGAACATACTTGGAAGGGGATGATCTTGAAGTGCGGCTTCTTTAAGCTCGTTGAATAGCGTCTCCGACGAAGAGAAATCGCAGCTGGTGCCGAGATCGATCAGAATTCAGAAAGAACTCGGAAACGGAAACTCAGAGTTGAGAGCGAGTGAATGGTACGACAGATTTCTGATTTGGGCTTCTCAACTGGAATTTGAGCTGATGGGGCCGTGGCGGCGGAGCCTACAAATTTGCCTCTTTCAGCTGGGCTCTACGTATATGTACACATTTCCTACTCAACAAAATTCTTATTTTACATAAACAAAAGTTAAAAGAAAGAGAAAATTCCTTCCTCAAAGGAGAGGCTAAGAGAGGCTAAGAGAGGCTAAGAGAGGCTACAGTGCCAATTATCAATTCTACTAATCATTGCTTGATCATTTATAAAAGCGACGCAGTTCATGAACAAATTCTGGGTAATTGGCAAGGAGGTAGTATATGGTTGATTTGAAAAAGAATGCAACGAGAAATTGATTGAACTTGATGGTATTTATATGAATATAGAAAAAACCTTTTCCTTCCTCCTAAGGAAGTGGTATTTAAAGAGAGAATTTTGACAGGAAAGCATCAATCTTTGATTTCCCAATAGAATCCCTGAAGACATAATAATAGACAGACAAGCACAGTTCTGGATGAGATTCTTTTGCAGCTTGTGTTTTAGACACACTTGTAGTAAATCGTACAATATCTCTATTAATTATATCCTAATTCTTGTTGCCTTTTCACTTTGTTCGTAGCAACAGAAATACAATTGGCCTTCTTCTTCTTCTTCTTCTTCTTCAATCCTCTGAAAACACCTTCATTTCTCCAGAGCTTTGAGATCTAAATCTGTTGTGACCGCTGCATACAAATGGAAAACCAGATTCAGAACTGCCCCAAATGGTATGGTATGGTATGGTATACACACACCTCATAGATTTAAAAGGTATACCATCAACCAATATCAGATACTAACATCATACGCATTCTCTTCCAAAGAAAAAGATGTGCATAAGGCAAACGAAGAGAGGAGAAAGAAGGTGAGCGGCAATGGTGATAGCAGTAGGCAGTGACGGCCAGGAGCAGGAAGAAAGGAGAAAACAGAAAGAAAAGAACAATGAGACATTTAAACAGAAAGAGGTACCTGAAATATTGTAGATGTCTCCTACAGGACCGTCAAGTTGAATAAAGTACAAAAGGCACTGCACAAGGTGGGAAAACAAGGCATACATTTGCTCAGACATATTATTCTACCATGATATCAAAATGCATCACACCACAAGTATCATGAATCTCTGAGTGCAACGAGAAAACTCCACACATCTCTTGCAAGGTTTTTCTCACAGAAATTATGCAAGTTAGAAGTCTATATGCTGTTGTTAATAGTATCCTTTCATCATTCTCCACATGTCAGCTGGACTCCTTGACTTACAAAATGCATGCTCTAGCTTCTGAGGAACTTACCCAACAAAAAAATAGTTAACATCAGAGCAAGTGTAAGTTGAACTGAGCAACCACGCTGTAGATTCCTTGAACTCTGGAATTGTCTGCGGCCCAAAAACCTAGCAAAGAGCTAGCAAAACAAAAATATGAAATATCCATTAGCGAACTCCCGATTGCAATCGCATTCAAATAAAACAAATGGGCCTCATTACCAATGTCAAACATTAGTAGCGTTCGCTTTTCATGCTCGTAAAAGTTCGCTATGTAGTATTACTTCTCAAAAAGAGAGAAAAATCTACCTGATTGTATGCATGACCAGCAACCTTTGCTGGAAGAAACTCCCGCCCAATTTGCCTCCAGAGGATTGTTCTAGATCCTTTATCTTTAGGTGTGGCCTCGACAGTTGGAATTGGGTTTATACACTCATCCTCATCAGGAATAGCAATTGTCATAGAACCAAAGTTTGGTGAACTCCACACTCTCCTAGCATTGGTCATCCTTTCTGAATGGCATACAACATCTTCCCCTGCACGTGAAATTACATTTTGAGTTTCTTCGACTTTATCGCCAATATCTAGGCTGCTCCGATTACTGCTTTCTTCTCGTCTTTTACTATAAGTCTCATGAGTAGATTCTTCAAAAGAAGGCATAGGTTCCAAAATTTCATCTTTTGGACCTCGTATAGTAGCGGTTGTCCCAGAGAGAAATGCAGCTAAATCATCACATTCTTCCTCATTAAGGTTTACCCATTTAAGGGGTTGCTTGCCTTCCTCAACAAAATATTCACGTAATGATTCCTCAACACAAAATATTTGGTTTTCAATGGCGTCAATGAATTGTCTATGTCTTTCCAGCTTAGTATCATCCCCATGGTGTCTGTAGCTCAACCGGACAGCCTTCTCAAACTCTTCTAACTAAACATGCATCCAGAGTTGACATGTATAAGTATCAATGCAAAAGAGTTCAAAGACAAGGGAATTGAAGGAGAAAACCAGAGTTCGCCAGTTAATTGGGGTGTCATACAGAACAAAAATTTAAGAAACAAGGTGCTGAATATAAGAGAAGATAAACCTAAAACAAATCTGTGTCTGTGTCGTAGTTGTCAACATACGAGGTAGGAATGTCTGAGACTTTCAACTTTGGAAATAAAAATGAAGTAATTACGTACAGAATATTAATCACCTGCCATTTGGTTGTTCCCAAAGCAGTTCGCAACTCCCTGGTAAATGCATCCAAATCATCTACCATTAACCTTTCTTTTCTCTCTCTCAACCATGTCCTATATATTGATTCCAATCTGACATTTATATAGAAGAAACATGAGAGAATCCAAACCAATCAGATTTGATCTTAGTGAAAAGAACAAGTATAACATTGTTACAATATAATTTTATCTAACAAAGTGATAACCGGAGGAACAATCAATATTAGATTCAACTCATCGACAAGAGAGACAAAGTGGAAGTGATGAAAAGAAATACAAAATCTAAAAGCACAGATAGAGATGAAGTTATTGCTATTAGTTATTATTCGAGCAGGAGCAGGAGAGAGATTTTTATTCGCATGCATATATAAGGAACTTTGAATGAGACGCATGAAAGAAAACAAAGGGGCCAAAAAAGTCCATCCAGAACGGATATGACATAAAAAGAATCTTAGAATCCAAAGTAAAAGATAGTTATGAAACAAATTTGAATTAAGAACCCATAAGAAGCGTTGGAATATATCACCCCAAATATTGTCCCACAACTTATGAATCCCTAATCTCAATCTCTGAACAACATACAAACTCAAACTTTAGGATAAACGACTATGTGCTCTCGATGAGAAAGGGCATGCCACAAAACATTATTCAAAGTCTCCGCCCCGCCTCTGCAAAACACACCAATTGTGGCCTTAAACACGAAAGAAGGCTCTCAGCAAAACTTCAATGGTGATAATCCTTAACAAATCCACTAGCCAAGCCAAGAACCTGACTATGCGTTCTCTTTGTAAGAGTGCGCATCATTTCATCAGCTATTGACATCAAATACGACGGTACCAATATGCAAACAGCTCGAACTAGTCTGCAACACATCCGATTGCTTAACCATCCTCCCCCTCCAACGTTTTGAACTTCATGATTTTACTATGATATTTCTCCAACATCAATAAAAAACTACTTAGCATCTTCTTTCCCCTTTCCACTTCCTGACTTCACTCTCTCAACAACATAACAAACAACGATTCCAAGGCATAACCATATACCAATTGAATCAAAACAAGAACAGTACCCAAAAAGGAATATGCAAGTACAAGAACACGATTTGAAGAATTATTAGAGCAAAAGCCAGGAAACCAAAGAAATTTATGGTGGAGGGAACGCGTAGTTTAAAAGCCAAGACCATTAATAAACTCTTCACATCGGAATCAAATTATCATACCCACGTGATATCAAAGCAAGAAAAATGGAGAATTTCACGCACTCAAAAGCAATTTACAGAAAGGAAAATTAAATAAAATCAATCGAAAGATAGACCCCTTTTGTTCATGCTGAAAATACCCAAACCCTCGATGCAATACAGAACTCACATGTCGGCCGATTCTTGCACCTCCTCAGCGGCGGAAAAGAAAGCATCTTTCTGCCATAAATCAAAACTCCGTGCAACCAACATCTCAAACCGCGGCGGTAATCACTCATAAAATGGACGACAAGATCGTAGCCCGTGCGAGGCGCTGAATCGACCCACCAACAATTCAGAATTTCCGGGGATGAATAAATCGCAAGGCTTGAAACGAAAGAAAACGAAGGAGAGGAAGAATCAAAATCGTATACTCCACTCCCTCCCTTCCCTCTCCTCTGCTAATAAATTAAACAGAGAATTGAGAAAGAGAGAGACATAAAAACGATTCCGTTCCTCTTTCACTTTCCTTTCCCCTTCGTCCTTCCTTTTCCTTTTCCTTTTCCTTTTCCTTTCAATCTTATTTGCAGAACTTGCAAGTTTTAATCCACTGCATTTCACCACACCAGTTTCTATGACGTGGAAGCTTCCAATTGGCCATCTATCCACGATCTAATCCTAACCGCTCGATCAACTCGGTGCGAATGCCCTAATCCATCTGAAAAAAGGAAACATCAAACATGGCGTCGGTTGGTGGAGAGGGAAGACGACAAGAAAGAGTGAGCTGCCCAATCTGTTCGGGCAGTTTGCGGTCACCTATTTCTCAGTTGACCCACCCATCCAGAATAAGCAGAGCCCAATAACCAACCACCTGTAGTATTAAATTACAATAATTATCGCGTTAATAAAATATTTGGATTTTCTTTATTGCGTGACTAATTGTGTGAAAGTGTTCGGTAATGAGTCAGCTAATTAATTATTTATTTTATTTTCCACTCAAATTGATTTTAATAATTGCGTGACTAATTATATGTACGGACTATCACGTGCTTCTCTAAGCCCAAGCCCAAGCCCAAGCCCATTATGTTCGAATCCAAATTCCCCAATTTGAGAGTTGGGCCTAATTGGGCTAAACCAAAGTTTTTTATTTTATTTAATTTAAAATAATAATAAATAAATGAAAAGAGATGCAAATTGAGGGACATGGTCGTCATGTTTGTGAGATAAGGATTATTTATTTTATTTGAAAACAAAGATTATAAAAATGGACACACTGTGCAGTGCAGTCAATTTTGAGGTATTAAATAAATAATATAAATACAAACTGTCCAATTTCATACCTATTTCTTTTTTCTTTAACCGAATGTCACTTTGCAACTAGCTCCTACCATCGTCAAACTTTATTCATTTTAATTAATCATTTAACCGGCGTTGGGATTACAATATTTGGGCTTAGGTTTCATTTTCCAAACTTTTATTAATTTTAAAATTTCATTTTAATTAATCACTTAATTGTTATATGGGACAAATTAAGATCTGTCGCGTGACCTGGTAATTTAAAAAAGAATAAGCTTAGCCATACGACCAACTCAAAATGAAGTGATAAAAGGTCAAGTGACACCAATTTAAACCAAGCACTAATCAACTCGAGCTGAATGAGGTCTGATTTATAAGTCAACGCTCAGCTGAAAAAGGTTGGATTAGGACACTCCGCCCACTGCAGAAACAACAGAGTATATCTTACAAACAAAAAGTATGCATTTTAGATATCATAAACAGTACTTATTTGACGGTATAAATAAATGGATTGAATTAACAACAAACAGGGCACCATAATTGAAGGGAGAAAATGGGGGTTAATGGTGGGGTGGGTCTCTTGGAGGAAACTGAGTGGCACATAAAGTGTTTGTTTTAATGTCTGAATGAAAAAGAAGGGTTTTAAAAGTAACGTGGCTTCTGGGTAATCACATATATGAATTACATAACTTTATTGTTGTTGTTGTTGTTCTTCTGCGTACGGGCGATGGGTTCTTTAGATGTCATATGCGACTGATAAGAGATCATCAATGATTTTCTCCATCCTCTAATTTCTTATTTCTTCGCTATAATCATAATGTTTTTGTCTCTTCCTATCCCACCACATCTTTCCCTATCCAAATTATCCTTCCCTTTTCTATATCGTATTTTCATTAAATTAATTATTTATATGTACAGAATAAAACTGTTTTCTTTTTTCTTTTTTAATTGTGGAAGAAAGTTTTATATTTTATTACTTAAAATTACAATTATTTTCAATTAAAGAATTAAAACACAATTATTAAAGCTATAACATTACTTTCTGAAACGGTAAAAGCTATAATAAAAATATAAATATAGTGTTCACCTTGTCTTGTTCAGAGAGAACGAAACGGCATAACATGAATACAAAAAGGCTAAAATCGTAAATAAATTTAGAGATATTTTAATTAAGTACATATAAAATTGTTTCAAATAAAACATTTTTTACCATAAAGTTCCTACGATTTAGCCACTAAAAATGAAGGTATACATTATTTGATATAAATACCATTTATTTGAAAATACTACCCTTTATAGTATAAGTTAAAATATTAAACAAATATATATGATACTAGTGATGGAAGATTTAATTTAATGAATTGTGGGAAATAATTAGTATAATAATATAATGAAAAAAATATTCCCTTTTGAAAGATGGAGAGTAAAATAAAATTTTGATTTTGGATTGCAAAAAGTATATATAAAAAAAAAAACATAGAAAATGAGGAATATAAATTCACATACTTTTTTCTTTTTCTTTTTTTAATGAAAAAAGAAATTAAGAAATTCACATGGAAAAGACAGAAAAAGGCAGAGCTGAGTCAGCTGTCAGTTGTCACCACGTAGGCCAGAGATCTACTCGACTCAACCCATGAAATATTTCCTTTTCTCATAACTCAACGTCAAAATCACCACCTAAGAATTAAAAATAATAAATTAATTATATTAAAAAATTAAAAAAACTTTCCCTCATTATAACTCATATCGTCTCATGAGTGCTCCTTTTTCGCATCTAAATCCTCTTTTCCCTTACACAAAATCTGCCTTTTTTTTTTAATTTTCTCAACACAAAAAGAAAAAAGAAAAAAGAAAAAAGAAAAAAGAAAATCGTCTCTTCTTTATTTACCATATTACCCTTCCATCCCCTATCTTATCCATTCACACTGCCTTTTCACATTTACATCATTTTTTCCTACTTTTTAAATTTCTTCCTTATTAGGTAAAACCTTTTTGCTTAAAACAAAAGCAACCAATTACTTATGATTTGAATTCATTATTGTATTAGTCCAATAATTAAAGGAAGTATAATTTGTAACATTATGATTTATTATTTGGAGAAAATATGAAGATTTATTGAGAATGATAAGGGCAGAAATTAGAAAGGAGTATAAATAATTGAGACCCCCACTTGTAACGAATTGCATTGGGATCCATGTGTTATATCACAAACTTCCAATGCCTTTCCATTTGGGTCCTTAGTGGCATATTACACAAACCATATTATATCCCTAATATTAGTCTTTTCATATTAACATCAAACTAACAAACAAATTAATCTATACAAAAATCATGACGTAATTTATATTTCATTATTTTAATATTAATAATAATCATAATAATCTTAATAATACATCTCTTTTAACATGTTAGCTTGGATTGGATCCAAAATGGTTTCCCTTCACAGATCTTCCTTCTTCTCTCAACAGTAAAAAATTAAAAAGTTCCCATTTTTGTTACCCAATGAAATTGTTGCTTTCTTTTTCACCCTCGTCGTTGTTATCCTCTGTTTCTTTGCTGCAATCCTCCTCAAATTCAGACCCTTCCTTTGGACTATCCACAGTTCTCTTCTCTTGCTCTTCTTCTTCTTCTTCTTCTTCTTCCTCTATACCCATTTCCTTTTTCCTTAATCCTCCATTTTTTTCGTTCTTCTCTGCTTTTGATTTCAATGTCTCTAGCAACTCTGCCACTGCCCTGTTTTTATAGCGGCGATTCTTGATCAGAAATTCGCTCACGTCCGCCGGCGTCATCTTTGCCTTGTCAATAACCTCTTTAATTTCTTGCAACAGAGTGTTGTCGATTTCATTCTCTTCGTAATTTAAATAATTCTTCAGAAGTATCTTCAATGCTGGATAAGAACAGAAATTCATGAAAATATGCAAATCCATTCTCCCACTTCGAAGCAATGCCGGGTCCAGCTTCTCAATGTGGTTCGTCGTAAATACGAAAATTCTCTCACTGCCACAGCACGACCATAACCCATCGGTGAAATTCAGCAATCCAGAAAGAGTAATCGAGCCACCGCCGCGGCCGTCGTCGCCGGATAGTGAACTGTACCCACCTCCGCATCGGATGTCCGGAAAATCGTAGTAGTTTCTCGGACCGGAATTTTTCTTTTTTCGGTCAGTGAAACTAATGGAGCAATCAATGTCCTCGATGACGATGATCGATTTGGAGGTGGTTTTCATGAGGAGCTTCCGAAGCTCAGAATTGGTGTGGACCTCAGTGAGTTCGAGATCGTAAACGTCGTAACCGAGAAAGTTAGCCATTGCAGCGATCATACTGGATTTTCCGGTTCCGGGAGGGCCGTATAAGAGATAACCTCTTTTCCAGGCTCGGCCTGTCTGTTGGTAAAAGCTTTGGCTGTTGGCGAAATCTCGAAGATCTTCCATAATCTGTTGCTTCTTAAGTGGGTCCATAGCCAATGTGTCAAATGTGCTTGGGTGTTTAAATGGCACCGACTCCCATGGATTCCCTCTCGAATCCAACGACCCACCACGCGAATTCGTATAAAGAAGCCTCTCCTGATTCTTGCGACGGATTTCATCAGCTCTGTCCATAATGTAATCAAGATATGAATCTAAAATCAAAGGCTTATCTTTTTTCTTGATTCGAAGAGTAAAACCCCTTTTCTCCTCCGGCAACGGGCGCCAGAGGTATCCCTGTGCTTGTCTTTGAGTGACAATATGCTCCCACTGGACAGTGACGCCATCGAAGAAGTCAAGGATGCAGTCATTGTTAGCAAGACCAAAGGTAATCGCGCTGGAATTGACAGCACGCGTGAGACTCAACCGATTGCCGGAGATGGAAACAGAGGAGCTTAAGTAGAGTTGGACAGCGTTGTAGAGTTCGTTGGTGTTGACGCCGTCGATTTCAGTGATGTCAAAATAGACATAGGAGGAGAAGCAGTGGGAGAGTTTATGGAAGAGTTTAAGGGCGGCGAAACGGAGCTCCGGCGGGAAGATTGTCTGGAGGAGAGACTGGCAGAAGGCAAGAACGCCGAGAAGGGATGCCAGAGAGGACCAGTATTCCTTCATGGCTGTGAATCAAGAAGGGTATAGGAGATTGATCAGTATAGGGAATCAGGGGACGATTTTATAGAGGGAAATGGAGGAGAGAGAAAGGAGAAGGGTTAGAGAGAGAGTGGGTGGAGGATGTGGGGAATTGGCTGGCAGAGAAGAAAGTACAAGTGAAAACAGCAACAGAAGTGGGGAAAAACAAAAAGGGCTTTTGGAGTTTCTTAGAGAGAGAGAGATCAGAGATGGGTCCCCTGTTTTGGTTGAGTGTATGTAAGCTCCTGCTATGAACACTATTTTTCAAATTTTAATTCCATTTTAATATTACAATAATAATAATTTAATCATCCAATAATTACGATAATAAATATACAAATTGAAATTAGCATGAGTTTAAATAAATAGAACGACTTTCAAAATATTGTTGAATTAAATAATAAAACTTTTAATATTCTTTTTTGTTTGACTCGGTTGTGGTTATGGTTTTAGTTACTATTGGATGGAATAGCATCTGATTCTAATTTTAATTATTAATTAAACATTATAAATACGAATATACCAAAAATGAAAACTCAGACTTTAAACACACCAATAATCTGGTTTTATTTATGGTGCACTAAATAAAATTATTAAAGCATTAATTAGGGATTTTAATAAGCTGTTATTTTGCTATGAAATTTAATTACCAAAATTGCTGCGTATTTTATATTATTGCATTTGGAGTAGGTATGATTGTTTCCAAATATTTTTGTAGATTTTATCACATTTAAAAGTTATAATATATTACGAAATTGCATGATAATCAAAATAAAAGAATTTTCATGCTAATAATATTTAAAAAAAAATCATAGATGAGATTAAAAAAAATAATTAATAGTTATATTAATTTAAACAGAACCAATAGAAAGAGATAAATTAAAGAAATTATAAGCAAAAAAAAAGGAAGAATATTTTAAGAGAGGGAAGAGGGTATGTCTACAACAGTGAAGAGCCAAGAGAGCCACGTGTAACGCCCTAATCTGGTTGCCTTTGTTGTAATCTTAATTAATGATTGTTTAAAGGGTTAATTAAGATAGTTAGGTAGTGTGGATTAAGATGAAGATTGATTGATTAATTAGTAAGGTCCAACCACTACAGTGTTGCAACCAAGGTTCTTTTGCGTGCTTTGGACCCGATTCTCCTTCTTAGTTTAACCTAAAATCCACGACCAATTTTAATAATTATTAATTCCTTTTTAAATATTCTTATTTCTTCCCTAACTTTTAAATATTTTAATTTACTTTGATTTTTTTTTTATAACAAAAAAACATTTTATAGGACACTACCAATTCATGTGGGCAATTTTAGAAAAATGATCCAAACTTAGGTTTCAAATTTAGTTTAGTTATTTTATTATGCGATGTATGGCTAAAAATCTTGATATGTAAAATTTATATGCTGAAATATCATAATATATGCGAATTTGTGAACTAGTTTTGAAGACAAATATAGTTATATACGTACCAATAACATTAAAGGGTCGTATAATAATATATGAATATTTTTTTAAAAAGTGGTAAAGTATTGGCAAGATACCCATAAGTGGGTAGATACATATTTTTCTCAGAAATTTTTTTAATACTATAATCATTTTATTCGCACTGTTTTATTTTTTAGGGTATATATTTTATATTAGTTTAGTCTAAGTCCACGAGGTTTATGAAACTCTCGAATAGCCTCCCTTAATCGAGACACGACTCCTTTCTCTGGAACCCTTGAAGAATGAAGTACACTCTTTGTTCAACATTTTAGTCGCCTTTTAACTACACCTTCAAAGCTCACAATTGTTTGTTCAGAATTCTATTGACATGGTTAAGTTTGACAATTTGGTCACTTTTGACTACACCTTTGAATCTCACAATTCTTTGTTCGATATTTGAAGATTCTATTGACATGGTTAAGCTTAGAGCATGACTTTGATACCTTGTGAGGCAGTGGTATGATATTGTCCACTTTGAGTATAAAACTCTCATGGCTCTGCTTTGGGCTTCTCCAAGAGGCCTCATACCAATTGAGATAGTATTACTCATTTACAAACCTACGATCTTAACCAACGTTTGACTCACTCCCAATAATGACATTCTATTAGTTTAGTCCGAATCATATAATTTTGAAAAGAATGAAAAAATAAAATGAGTTAAAAAAAGAAAAAGAAAAAGAAACCAATCTCTTAGTGTGTCCTCACTTTTGTTTCTTCTTCTTTAAATTAGTATTCATAAGTGGTGACTCTTGTTCTGAGTTCTGACACTGCCACACACAGAGAAGAGAGAGAGGTGAGACGTGAGATGGAAAGGCTCTCTGTCCAAAGCAAAACGAAAAGATCCGAATCATTTTGATTTGGGTTGGGACCATAAATCCAAAATCCAAAATCCACAGCTTGTTTCTCTGAGTTTTGAGTTTTTTGATAATGGGAAGGAGTAGGCAGAGGTGTAGAATGGGCATGGAACAGAGAAAACAGAGTAGAAGAGATTAGAAGAGAAGAGTTTAGAAGGAAGCAATGTTGTGTTCCCACACGTAAACCCAGAAGGAAGCAAACAAAGAATCAGAGGGTAGGCAGAGAAGGGAGAGCTACGAATCTTTTTCAATAATAATAATAATAATGACTCTCTCCATTATTTGTGTGATTAGTAAGCCAAGCAGAAGCAGAGAGGCAGAGGCAGAGCGCGGAAGCAGAAGCAGAGGAGGACAAAGCAGAAGCAGAGGAGGAGGACAGAGGAGGACAAAGCAGAGCAGAGGAGTTGTGAATGGTCCATCATCTTCCCCCTATTCTCTATCACCTCCTTCCCACGCCTACACTAAACTAATGGCATGCACTGCTTCTTCACCTACCAATCTCCATCCCTTTTATCACCATTTATTGGGGTACTCTCAAACACAACGTTACCTACAAACATTACCCAATACTTACTCTACACCACCAAAAACATCCATGCCCATGTGTGGAGGAGGAGTATACAATTATAGAGTTAAAAACGATTGATAACAGATTCGACAACGTATATCGCTAAGGACTATAAAAATATTATAAACGAGAATCACATTTTCTTGATAAGAACATGTTTACACTTGTATTATAAGAGATTTGATTTGTCGTCAAGCCTTCTCACTCATATTTATATGTTATCAATCTTACTACCACATAAATTTTCTTAAATTGGTTTCTAAACATTTTCTAAATTTTTTTTTATTTTTGATTTCTAAAATATATATTTTTTTTTTTGGAGAATAGAGTCGGAGGCTTTAGCATACATTGTTTGTGCCAACGACGACCCACATTCTAATTGGCTAATTTATTCGAGAGTAAATAAAATATGGCAAAATCAGATTGAGAGTGAATGTGATTGTGGCACTAGATTCCAATTTGAATTTTGTGTACGGTAGGTTATTAAACTTCCAATTTTGTTTAAAAATTCATAAAAGAAAACATTTAAAACCTAAAATAGGATGAGAATATATTAGATAAAACTGAAACTTGAGAGATATTTAGTATTGATGGACCAGAAGAATCCTCATAAAAAAAAAACAATAGGTAAGATTTAGAAGAATCCTCGTAATGGTAAACAGGTTTAATAAGATGAATTAGGGGTATTATATGGAGAGTCAGCGGTTTTGCTTAGTTTATAAACAAGCAGGCGTCAGTGGATTATTAATGCAAAGTGCAAAAGTGCCTAAATTACGTAACCCTTGGCCTTTATTTGACTGACCCCCAACCACTTTGGGCATGTACACGCATCCACCACCGCTACCCATTTCCCATCCCTCTCTTCTTCTTCTTCTCACGCTTCTCGCACACCGATGCCTCATTTGCTTCGCCGAAGTTTCTGCCCTTAAATGTGCAAAACATAATGCTTTTCACACGCCTACGGACAACTGATCTAACTTTATTATTTTGTTCCTATCCTATATTTTTTGTGACATGGTATTATTCTTTAGTTGAAGTCCCGTAAATACCTGACCTCTCGTGTCGACACATATTGGGTGACCATTGTAGTAACGAAACTCGAACCAAAATTGCATTTTTACCCTAAATCTTGGGTTCTTCAAACTAAAATGGGGTGATACCTAACAGAGAAAAAATTGGTAGTATTAAAATTGAATTTAAAGTTGTTATATATCTTAATATAAAAGAAGTCAAAAAAAGTTAGTCCCGTAAGCACGAAATTGACAACTAAATGCGTTTAATATAAGAAACTTTTTTGACACCCTCTGTTTTCTTCTCCTCCTTCTTATTACATTCTTTGATTTCATTGCTTAATTCCTATGCTCCTCCCTCGATCTCTCTTTGAAATGGACGTTACGAAGCCTTCCTCCAAGTCCGACCGACGTCGTTTTGTTCTCTCTTCGATCCTCTTCATCTTTTTCCTCTGCGTTTTGGCCTCCATCAACGAAGCTCGTTTCGACGCCCTATTGAAGTTCGGCCGATGCACCGTCGACAGCGCTTCTTCTCTTTCGCTTCAAACGGCGACGTTTAATTCCTCCGACGACAATCTCCTTTCAGTTAATTCTTCCTCTGTCTCCAACGACACTGATATCCGTATACTCATCGGCATTCTAACGCTTCCCGATCAGTACAATCGCCGCCACTTTCTCCGTCTAATTTACGGCACGCAGTCCGTTTCGGGCGCTAAAATCGATGTTAAGTTCGTCTTCTGTAATTTGACAAAAGAGGATCAGAAGATTCTCGTCGCGTTGGAAATAATGCGATACGACGACATTATAATCCTCAATTGCAAGGAGAATATGAACAAAGGCAAAACCTATACCTACTTCTCCAGCCTACCGGAGATCTTCAACAGCAGCGACGGCGCCGGACCTAATCCGCCGTATCACTACGTGATGAAAACCGACGACGACACTTACATCAGGCTCAACAGCTTGGTAGAATCGCTCCGGCCACTTCCGAGAGAGGATCTGTACTACGGATATGTAATTCCTTGTCCGAGCATGGATCCGTTCGTGAAATACATGTCCGGAATGGGATACTTGATATCTTGGGACTTGGCGGAGTGGATCAGAGAATCGGAGATCCCTAAGAACAATTTGGAAGGGCCTGAGGACAAAGTATTTGGAGAATGGATCAAAGATGGCCGCCGCGCGAAGAATCGGTTCAATGCGAAGTGGTCGATGTACAATTATCCGGAGCCGCGGACGGGATGTACTCATGAGCTTTGGCCGGAGACGATCGCAGTTCATCTGTTGAAGAATCAGGAGAAATGGATTCGCACATTGACGTATTTCAATGTCACTGCGAATTTGAAGCCATCGAAGTTGTATCATATTCCATAGGTGAATCAAATTCAAGCCATCTTTAGTTTCAATTTTTGGTTATTCTACTCAAATTATACAGAAAGAAGATTCTTCGGCGACTTATGGTTGGTCGCTTCTCTGTTTTTTTTTTTTTTCAAAAAATCTAATATATTTTTCACTGATGGATCAAAATATCTTGAATGAGGATGTATACAATGTTTTGATCATAATAATTGAATCATTTAATTTTATATCTAATCTTTTACCCACTTGCTCGTTCTTTAATTTTGAAATTATAATTTTGAAATTTGTATTCACCGCTTAATATCAAACCAGATAGATGGATCAAGAAGTCTACACGGACCAACCAAAATGACATGAGAATGCGGTTGGAGTCATGAATTGGTACTTGTCAAAGGCACAGTCGACTACAATCTTTTATACAAAATAAGCGAAAATTGAAAGGCTTAGCCATTGGATATCATAATCTTCCATCATCAATGATATCAATCTAAAGCTGTTTAAAGCTATTCTCACGGCAGTATTGAAGGTGAAGCGAAACCTGACGCTCCATCCTAAGCCGGCGATAGAAATTGGCTATGAAAGCCTCCGCACGCATGTCCACATCGTCTTCAGAAGCGTAGCTCCTTGTTCTTTGAAGCCCTCTCCACGAAATCGACTCTCCACACAACTCTCTAACATCCTCTTCCCTACACCCTTTCAATCCCGGCGCTTCCTTGAAGCTGACGCGGAGGCTTCTCGACAAACTTCGTCCAAACATCGCCGCCAAACGCCAGCTTTGGACCTTGAAGTTCATCATAAGTTTCAGCTTCTTCACTGCCTTCCTCAGCCGACCCAACAAGCTAATCGCCGCCATTTTCGCTATGAAATTTTTCTTCTTACAAATTAAGGATAATTTGGGAGTATTTATAATGCTATTAGCCGCCTATTTTTTTTGGATATTGGTGGGAAGTTTGTGTAGCAAATTCATAAACAAGAGAATGCAATGCGCGTGGAATTCCAATACCAATTTTGGGTGACGCAAACTTTGAACAAGTTTTAATTTGATTTGATTAAGACCAACTTCTTTACCTCTTCCTAATATGATCTTATTTGGATTTTCCAAATTTGGTGGATAGATTCAAAATATGGCTCATAAAAATACAAAACCCCATTAATGGGTTCACCTTGAAACAAAAGAATTGACGGTAGATAATGTCACTCCAACCACCTCATTTAAAGACTTTAAAATAAAGTCGTAATTACATGCCTGATTTAATTATGAAATACACAACATAAAACAATATTTATGAATTTCTAGACCCTTAGACGAGCTCGGTTAGACAACGCTACTAATATACTACGGATGAAAGGGAACACACATATTATCGCGGTGGATATAACACCGATAATAACATCATAGCAAAAATAAATATAGTAAAGTAAATGTTCATATTAATCGTATAGATTAATATTCCAATACACATGATACCCGATTAGACTATCACATTCTCCACGACCAACTCCTCGAGTAAGGCAATGAATTATGTGCGTGAAAAAAGAAAAGTTAAGCATTTTCCTTACGGTAAGCGGGATGGAAAACGTTCGAGTGTGAGACATAGAGCTTACTTTATTTTAAATATACATAAAGCTATTAATTATTTCAAAAAAACTTTCTTAATTAATTAATTTTTTTTTTTTTGCATATTCACGTTTTTTTTCCCTCTTCATTCACAACATTTTCACGAATAACTCTCAATGTCAACCTGCTTAATTTTAAAAATATAAATAAAATATTTTTACTAATATACGACAAACTTGTCTATTTTAGATAATTGTTTTATTGTTTGCCAACTCAGTAGGTATTATGTCACACCCTTAACCAACTTCCATGTAAGGAATAATTACTTACCACTTATATTTAGGCAATTAATTTCAAATTTATACGATTTTTGCTTGAAAAAACAAAAATTATGATTACATATTTATTAATTTTCCTAATTAAAATACCATTATGAATAAGCTTAAAATGACAACCAAAAAAAAAAAAAAAAAAAGACAAGAGAAGATATTGTGTGAAAATAAAAATATCTTGGGTCAGTGTTTTTTTGTATAAGAACTCTATTCTTCTTCTCACCAACTCCACAGCTAGCTTCTATCTGCTTCTTCTCTTCCTCTCAAATTACATCACTTTCTTTAACCACACCAAAATTCAATCCACCTCTCACCTTCTCCATCCCTTCCTCTAATTCCCTCCACCTATGGCGGCCGCCGATCCCTCACCGGAATTCATTTTTCGCTCAAAGCTCCCGGATATCACCATACCCGACCACCTTCCCTTGCACACATACTGCTTTGAAAACCTCTCCCAATTCAAACACCGTCCATGTCTAATCAATGGCGCTACCGGCGACACGTACACCTACGAAGAAGTCCACGTAACAGCCCGCCGTGTCGCTGCTGGCCTCCATAAGCTCGGCATCGGAAAAGGTGACGTCATTATGCTTCTCCTACAAAACAGTCCACAGTTCGTTTTAGCCTTCCTTGGCGCTTCTTATATTGGAGCCGTGGCAACCATGGCGAACCCGTTCTTCACGCCGCCGGAGATCGCGAAACATGTCGCCTCCTCTGGCCCGAAGCTGATTATAACCCAAGCTGCCATCGCCGAGAAAGTGAAAAGCTTGGTAGACAAAAACGGCGCGAGTATCAAGCTGATATTCATCGACCCTCCACCGGATGGAGAGGTTCATTTTTCGGTGTTGACTGATTATGTAAAGGAAGAGGAAATGCCAGATGTGAAAATCAGTCCGAACGACGTCGTTGCATTGCCTTATTCTTCGGGGACTACAGGTCTTCCAAAAGGAGTTATGCTGACTCATCGAGGGCTGGTGACCAGCGTGGCACAACAAGTGGACGGTGAGAATCCGCACCTCTATATCCGAAGTGATGACGTGGTTTTATGCGTGCTTCCGTTGTTTCATATCTATTCATTGAACTCGATCATGATGTGCTCGTTGCGAGTGGGAGCGGCGATTTTGATCGTACAGAAATTCGACATTAATTACGTGGTGGAATTGGTGGGGAAATATAAGGTGACAATTGCGCCGTTGGTGCCGCCTATTGTGTTAGCAATAGCGAAGAGTCCAGCGGTGGGGGGTTGGGAGATGTCGTCGATACGGCTGGTGCTGTCGGGAGCGGCGCCGTTGGGGAAGGAGCTTGAAGATGCGTTTAGGGCTAAGCTTCCAGATGCGATTCTGGGGCAGGTAATGAGTTTGTTTAAGATAGATAATGATGATGAGATTGATAAGGAGGTGTGTGGTTATAGGGATATGGCATGACGGAGGCGGGGTCGGCACTGACGTTGTCGTTGGCGTTTGCAAAGGAGAGGTTCCCGATAAAATCGGGAGCCTGTGGGACGTTGATGAGAAATTCCGATATGAAAATTGTAAACCCTCAAACTGGAGCTTCTCTTCCTAGGAATCAAGCTGGAGAGATTTGGATTAGAAGCCCTCACGTGATGAAAGGTACACGACTCTCTACAGTAGTATTATATCGTCCACTTTGAGCCTAAACTCTCGTGACTTTGCTTTGGCTTCCCAGAAGGCCTACTACTAATGGGAGAGAGTATTATTTAATTATAAACCTAGGATCATTCTTTAAATTTTCATCCTCAACCCTCTCTCCATTAAACCATATATTTGACTAAACCAAAATAATAAATTTATCAAATACCAAAAAAGAAAAGAAAAAATTAAATGAAATTTGAAGTAGATATAACCGAAATGCTAGTCTAGGTTGAATTTGAGCCGAGCCTATATTGATTGGGCCTAAATGAAGTCCGATTAAACTGAACAGGATACCTCAACAACGAGGAGGCGACGAAGGCCATAATAGACGAACACGGATGGCTGCACACCGGCGACATAGGTTTCGTGGACGAAGACGACGAGGTCTTCATTGTCGATCGTCTCAAGGAACTGATCAAATACAAAGGCTTCCAAGTGGCGCCGGCTGAGTTGGAAGCCTTGCTGATTTCCCACACTCACATAGCCGACGCTGCGGTTATCCCGTACGTGAGCCTTTTCTCGATTTGATTCCTTCACCGGCCCCGCCGTTCCTATAATGTGTTTTGGACTAATTTTACGCCGACTAATTGCAGCATGAAAAATGAAGTTGCTGGAGAGGTACCGGTTGCGTTCATTGTCCGATCCGGTGGTTCCAACATCACGGAGGATGAAATTAAGCAATACATTTCGAAACAGGTACAACCTCCAAATATTAGCGTTGATTTAAAGCTTTCAAGTTTAATATGTTGTTAGTTAGGTTTGCCGATTGATCATCCATTTCACCAAAAAAATAGGTAACCTTCCTTTTATGAACTATAGTTTCTGAACCTTTCGACTCTGTGTCTGTAACGCTACATGATAAATATACTTCCAAATGTTTCCAGTAATTGGCTGAACTGTTAATTTCGTGATTGATTTGTGAGGGATGTGGGATGCAGGTTGTGTTTTATAAGAGGATTCATCGTGTCTTCTTCGTGGATTCCATCCCTAAAAGTCCTTCTGGTAAAATCTTGCGGAGGCAACTTAGGGAATTGCTCGCAGCCCGTATTCCAAATTAGCTACCCAATGTGTGTTTCAATTAGAGAAAAGGATCTTGTTTATGGATTATGTTTATTCCAAGTTCTCTTCAGAGGCTGCAACCAAAATACAAAAATATAGTTCCCCTTTGATAATCATTTTGTCTGTTTTCTTATGAAAAGTGAAAATAAATATAAAAATAGTTATGAAAGAATTTTACTAACTGCATATAAGAAGATAGATATGTAGATTTGGAGGGTAGAAGTGATTGTTCAAAAAGAGTAAAAAAGCAAAATTTCCTTGTATGATTCATAAAGTGCTCAGTTTTGATTATCCATGACCTAAACAGTTCTGTTTGTTTACTGATGGCCCAGTGGAAATGGTGCATTCTGTGTTTACAACATTTGGTAGCAGAGCTAATTACGGCACGTCATATCAGAATATAGTCCTGTTTTGCGCTTTTTTGAGCAATCCGCATTTGCATCTTCAAACAAGTTGATGATCTCGATCATTTATCTTGTTCTTTCCACGTCACACCCACTTACCCACCTCTTCCATCATTTGTTTGATAGAAACCCAAGTACCAAAATTTCAAGGACAACCTTATCCTTCCCAATGTGTGGACGAGAAAGTGTAATATTTTCCCTTTTAGGTGCTTTCCAGGAGATGCAGAAACAGTAGTCTCTGTTCCCATTGTAATAATACTGTATGGCATAAATGGCTTTGGTACCTCGTTTACCATGGGGCCGCCCTTCCCCCTTCTGGGAATTTGTTTGTGCTTTTTCTTGTTTCAAACAAAAGAGCATCATTTTGGTTTTAATGCCGCCAAACCGTCTAATCCACTCACTTTGGTTAATGGATACCAATTGTACCTTACAACATCAAAAGGTTGGAGAAAGTGGTAGCATGTTAGGAGGAGAGCGTTTTGATGGGGTACCCCTACCCCCCATTCTTCTTTTTTTTCTTTTTTATCTCACTCTTTCTCTTTAAAGAGAATCCTAACAATATTGTTAGCTATACAAAAAAAAGAAACAAAAGTTGGGACTTAACCTTGAGATGGCATTTCATAATCAAGCACCCATAAAGTGATTTCAGATATCCTGCAAATAAGAGACAGAAAAAGGGATCTCAGACTTGACCTTTTCTTAGGGCCTTGAAGTTTCATGGAAGCAACAACTTAGTCGAACTTGTTGAAGCTTCATTTCACTTTCTCCGAAAGGAAGTCCTACCCCCTTTTCTAATCATCAAATTATAATACTACTCATCGGAAGGTGTCTAAAAATTGAATCTTTTAGAGTGAATGGAAATGGAGTGGCCAGGATCATTGTACTTTGACTCATCCATTTTAATTTATAAGAAAGGACGCATTCCTTGTATCTATTATCTGAACCTAATTAAGAGAGAAAGTACGAGGAAAAGTACATAGCACACATAATTACACCATATCTTCTAATTTGATTTGTGCATAATTGTTGGCTGCTCAAACCACAAGATCAATTAGGAATTAGTGTTCCTTTGCAGGCTGGACACCAAACTTTGGAGGAATTAAACACAGTGGTCTCTGATTCAAAAGACATCACCGCAAACACCGCCAAAGCTGGGAGATTATGATCTCTCAATCATTGTCTAAGAACACATTTAATTATTTCTGGTTGTCGCCGATGGATCAAATTACTAAGTTATCTGTTTGAAATATCAGACTTGATTTCAATTATTGCGTCAGACATTCATTAGTTTATAGAATTTGAGTAAAACCCATGTGGCTTGGTTCAGGTTTTTTTATTTATTGGAAAATCATTAATATGGGGGAAATGCTTTGAAAATATAGAGAGAGGGAGAGAGAGAGAAGGCATGTGAAGGGTGAAGTTGGTGAAAAAGATTAGCGGTCATTGGTGTGTGGTAGTCGATGCATAAACTTTTGGGTCCCTACGCCTCATTGCATCATTGACGAGATGGACAGATCCCATAAACACTTTCTAAGGATATGCTATCAGTGTGTTCTTCGGTTGGGTCGAATCACTTTTTTTTATTATATCAATCAAATATGTTTTCATTTTTTCTCTTTCCAAACCAACATGTTGTCATTATCACTATTATATTATATGGGCATCCATTTTTTTTATTTTAATCTACGACAATTTCTAAACTTATTGTTAGTAGATATTGTCAATTTTAGCCAATTACGTATAGCCGTCAGTTTCACAATTTTAGAATACGTCTAGTAAGGAGAGGTCTACACACTCTTATAAAAAAATGTTTCGTTTTTCTCTTCAGCCAATGTGGAACCTCACAATCCGCCTCCTTTAGCCCAGCGTCTCCACTTGCACACTACTCAGTGTTTAGTTCTGATATCATTTATAATAGTCAAAGCTCACTTCTAGAAAATGTTGTCTGCTTTGACCCATTACGTATCAATGTCAGCTTCATAGTTTTAAAACGCGTGTACTAGAGAGAGGCTTCCACACTCTTATAAGGAATGTTTTGTTTTCCTCTCCAACCGATGAGGGATCTCACGATCCACTCTCCTTGGAGGCCACCGTTCTCGTTAGCACACTGTCCGGTGTTTGGCTCTGATACTATTTATAACAGTTTCAGCACACGATACGATGATAGATAATTGTCATCAACTCCATCCTTATCAGTATTAGTAGTTTACTTTTCCATTACAAAAAGGGATCAGTAATTTGCTAAAAAAAAATATGATCAGCTGTGACATAAAAAAGAAAGAGCCGAATGAAGAGTTTAGATGTAAACCAAATAATTGAGCAGAGAAACGTTTGGACACGATGAGTAAGATAATACCAAATACGCAACTGGGTGTGTTTGTTTATAACATTTAGGCGATACATGTGGGGTTAAGTGGAAAGGAATGGAAGTAACCATTTATTATTATTAGAGATTTTTAAAATATTGGTTTGTAAACTGACAATCCATTTGAGTGCTGCCATTACCGGAGCCGACAGGCCATCCATCTCCACTGATTCTTTCCAACCCTCTGTCCCTCTCTAATTCCAAAGCCGATCCATTTTTAGTTGCACCAATAGTGAATCCTTTATTATCATATAACCCATCACAAATTCTTCATTTTTCTACAAAACCCACTTCTCATTTCCCCTTTTTCTTCAAACCCATCTTCTTAATTCTCCTTTTGAGCTCTTTTTTCTTGTTGCTTTCCTTCTCATGGAGTTTAAACACCATCAGCTCAACCTTGGCCTTTTCCTAGAACCCTCTTCTTCTTCTTCTTCTTCTTCTTCTTCTTCTTCTTCCTACTCGGCTCCTGTGAGTCCATGTAGCGAGCAGAGGGTTTACCCATGCAACTATTGCCAGAGGAAGTTTTATAGCTCACAGGCTTTGGGAGGCCACCAAAATGCTCATAAGCTGGAGAGGACTTTGGCGAAGAAGAGCAGAGAGATAAGGGCATACCGAGGAGATCATGAAACCAATATTACGATGAATTCAACCAATTTGTGGAAAGTTGAGACAATCACAGCTGCAGCACCTTTAGTAATTGGCCCACATGGGGTTGATGGTGGGAGAGAGATAAGGGGTTTCGCAGCTGAAAATCATCATCTTCATCATCATCATCAAGATGATATTGGCCATCTTGATTTGTCTTTAAGGCTCTGAATTTCTCTGTTTTTGTTTTTTCACTTTTACGTATAAATTTTATATAATGATTGAAACCCGTAAAGAAGAGGTGACGGATTGAGAGTATTTTATGTGTTTCATCTTTATATTCTCTTCGAAACTAAGCCCCAAATTGTTTCGTGTTCTATGAGTCCATTTATAAGCTTTTCTCTCTTTTCAGTTTTAGTTCTCTCTTTGTAATTACTGCCTTAATTATGAAAAATATTTACTTTTTTTTATAGCAGATATGTAGTGATCAGTGGAAATCAATTGAAATCGACCCATTTGAGGGGTTGAATAGAGCTACTTAGTGATTAGAAGTTGCATTATTGAAGATTGTTTTAGGGTTTCGATTATGTATGCATTATTATTAAGACTCAATCATGAAAGTTGTAAAGAAAGCATATGCCACTTTTCCTACTAAAATGCAAGACAACATAAAGTGAGGATCATCAAGTTGGGTTATTTTATAGATATTTTTACTAAATGCATGGTTGTTGGATATAAATTTCAAGGGGGATAACTTTTGAAACAATCAAAAAACAAACTCTTTCTTGGGGGCATATTTAAAACTTTATAAAGTATTTTGAAAAAGTTATGGATATTGGAATGTCCAAGCTCATTGCCAGCAAATATTGTCTGCTTTGACATGTTACGTATCACCGTCAGCTGCAAAGTTTTAAAATGTGTCTATTAGGGAGAAGTTTTCACACTTTCTCTCTTCAACCGATGTGGGATCTCACAATCCATCCCCTTGGAGGCCCAGCGTCCTCGCTGGAACACCACTCGATGCCGACGCCCAGCGTCCTTATGATTTTAAAATGCATATACTAGGGAGAAGTTTTCACACCTTTATTAGGAATGTTTCGTTTTCCTCCCCAACCGAAGCATTCCTTGTAAGGGTTGAAAAACTTCTCCCTATCAAACTCATTTTAGAACCATGAGGGCTAGGTGACTGATTATGTTCTTCTTACCAACATAGTATATTGTCAATGTCAATATCGAAATTCCAATGGTTTGAACTTCTTATCTCTAATCATTCAATTCCAATGGAGAATTAGAAGCGAAAACAGGAGGGGGAAGGCAAAAGGTATGAAGTATTGATGGGAGGGATTGTAATTTGATAAGAAGAAAGAATTTCTATTATGAGCAAATCGCATAACAACTCCAAATCACAACATCTTTCCTTTGAGAAACTCAGTTTTAAGAACTAAGAAGGTGTTGGAGGTAACAAAAAGGAAGAATGATTTTAGACGTAAATTAATAAGAATATCAAAGGAGGGACCCAAGTTTCCATATCAGAGATGCTCCACGTTACCACCAAACCCTCTTCTCCTAACCTACATTTTCTCTCAAATCATAATCTAACTTTAATTACATTACATATAATGAACACAAACTCCATACTCTATTTTATAACTACTTTTAAGTTTTTTCTTCATTGCTTTTATCCCTTAAATTTAAACATTGTTCAATTATAAAAACCCTTAAATGGGGAAGGAAACAGAATCCAGCATATAAACAAAAATATTTTTATACATCATGGATGAGTAGTACACTACAATATATATTTATCAACTTCCTAAACCCTAAACTTACATTATATTTCTATATCTATATCTATATCTATATATATATAACCTGAGATTATGCCATAGATTGTGCAGGTCTTCAACTTCAGAGACGAAACAAATTTCTGGACATCAACCTAGAAAGCTTCTTCACTTTGAAACTGTCGAAATGCGTCAACAAAATATGAACATGAAACCTCAAAAAAAAAAAAAAAAAACCATATCCTATGTTAGAATTAATGTTACCTGTTTGAAAATATCACCGAGTTCGTCATCCATTAATAAGCTGACGTGGGAATTTCCCTTAACCAATTGCATTTGAGAACATTGTCCTGAAAAACAATACACCAAAAGGATCAATTGAGAACATTTATTAATTGAGATGATATAATAGTTGTATGGCACATACCTGCCGGAGTATTATTGTTGGGAAATCCCCACCCAAGATGCCCTGCTGCTTCTGGAATTTCTCCCATATTATCCATCGGGCAATTTCCAAAACTTTGAGGGTAATTTGAATTCATGTTGTTACTTGGACCGAATCCTAAGTATTGGTCAC